AAACAAGGGTTTGGCAGCTGAATGAAGTTTAAACAAAAGATCGCTGTAACACTTAGGGCCATTCCAGTGAGTCAAAAATATTAATTAAGAATATCGTGCTTTAGTATTAAACCTTATAAACAGAAGGAGAAAGTTAGAATATATTGATAAAATGCTAAAACATAATTGAACAAAGAACAATAAGAAAAATCACTAAAGATCATTACATTTATTTTATTATTTAAAAAAGATAGTCTTCATAAACAATTATTTGCAATATATTCAGTTGCATTAACATTTTAAATGCATTGCGAAATTTCTGATTTTTCCAACTGCAGAACTATTTTTAAATAATTTATATACCTTGTAAAGATTATTGTGCAGTGAAAGCTGTCATTACTTAGATGTTTCAAATAGAAAAAAAAGTGTTTTGTTTTTGTTGTTAGGTGCTGCTGATGAGTTGGTTCCGTACTCAGCATGACAGAATGAAACACTGGTCTTGCATCATCCATACCATCACTGTTCTACTTTATCCCATGCTGAGCCAGTCCAGCTCATTGGGGCTCTTCCTCTTTATTGCTAACCCTCCACTTTACCAAACATGATGTCCTTCTCTAGGGACTGGTTCCTTCTAATAATTTGTCCAAAGTATAAGAGATGAAGTCTCATCATCCTGACTTCTAAGAAGTATCTGGTTGTACTTCTTCCAAGACAGATTTGTTTGTTTTTCTAGCAGTCCATGGCAGTACTTTAAATATTTTTCTCCAGCACCATAACTCAAATGCTTCTATTCTAGGGTCTTTCTTACTCATTGTCCAACTTTCAAATGCAAATGAGGCTATTGAAAATACCATGGCTTAAGTCAGGAACACCTTAGTCCTCAGATGGACATCTTTGTTCTTGAACACTTTAAAGATGTCCTCTGCAGCAGATTTACCTAATGAAATACATTGATTTCTTGACTACTCCTTTTATGAACTTGATAGTTGATCCAAGTAAAATGAAGTCTTTGACAACTTCAATCTTTTCTGTATTTATCATGTCATTTGTTGGTCCAGTGGTAAGGATTTTTGTTTTCTTGACATAGAGGTGCAACCCATACTAAAGGTTATGGTCTTTGATCTTCATCAGTAAGTAGTTTAAGGGCTCTTTGCTTTTAGAAAGCAAGGTTGTATTGTCTGCGTCTTACAGGTTGTTAATGAGTTTTCCTGTAATCCTGTAGCCATGTTCTTCTGTATATAATCCAAGTGTTTTAGAGAGCAATTTTGTAACATATATTAACAGCCGTTCTGAATACCGTCATTGGACCCAACAAAATCTCTGAAATATTTCCTAGGAAAATAATAAAGAACTAAGTGAAAAGTTATATACAAAGGGGTTTCAAAATGTTTGTGGAAAAATTCCAGTACTTTTTAATTCCATTTTACTATGAACTCTTTGAAGCCCCCCCTCTCGCATATGTATTTGTAAACACACACACATATAAATACCTGTCTTACATTAGTTAAAATAGCTGGAAATTGAAGAGAAATCCAATTCTTGAAAGCAGGTATTGTATTTGTGTGAGGTAGTAAATAGTATATTAGTTAGTTAACTCTTTGTAAGGATAAGTGGATTAGTAGAAAGGAAGTCAGTGAGCCTTAAAGTTTACAACTATTGAAAATGATAATTACAATAATTATTGTTGTTAAGTACTGTTGAGTCAGTTCCGACCCATAGTAACCCTGTATAAGATTTCCAAGGAGTGGCTAGTGAGTTTTAATGCCGACTTGTGGTTCAAACCGGGTGTGCGGTTGAATGCTTATCCCATACTAATTATAGTATTATAGATGAATGTTAAGCGAAGAATGAAAGACAGAAATGATTTCTACTGCAATAATAGGTGGTAACACCTATATCTAGAATAGCAAATGAAAAAACTATTAGGTAAGATGAATATATGAACTTTCAAATTTAAAAATAAATTTGGAAGACAATTGGCCGACTGATTGGAAGAGATCCATATCTGTGCCCATTCCAAAGAGAGGTGACACAATGGGATGCAGAAATCATTGGACAATATTTTTGATAGCCCACGCGAGTAAAGTTTTACTAAAGTGATACAGAAATGGCTGCAAGCATGCACTGACAGAGAACATCCAGAGGTTCAAGCCGGATTCAGTAGAGGATGTGGAACAAGGAATATTATTGCTGATGTTGGATGGATCTTGGCCGAAAGCAGAGAATACCAGAAAGATGTTTACCTGTGCTTTATTGACTATGCAAAGGCTTTCGATTGTGTGGATCATGACAAGCTATGGACACCATTGCGAAGTCTGAGTATTCTGCAACAGTTAATTGTGCTCATGAGGAATCTGTACATGAACCAAAAGGCAGTTGTACGAACAGAACATGGGAACACTGAATGGTTTAAAATTAAGAAAGGTGTGCAACGGGTTGTCATCTTTCACCATACTTATTCAACCTGTATGCTGAGCAAATAATCCAAGAAGTTGGGTTATATGAAGAAAAAAATGTGTCATCAGGATTGGAGGAAGGCTCGTTAACAACCTGTGATAATACAGATGACACAACCTTGCTTGCTGAAAGTGAAGAGGACTTAAAATATTTACTGATGAAGATAAAAGACCACTGCCTTGGGTATAGATTGCATTTCAATGTGAAGTAAACAAAATTCCTCATCACTGGACCAATAAACAACATACTTATCAACAGAGAAAAGATTGAAGTTGTCAAGGACTTCATTCTTCTTGGATCAACAATCAACACTCATGGAAGCAGCAGTCCAGAAATCAAATGACGTATTGCATTAGGCAAATCTGCTGCACAAGGTCTTTTTAAAGTGTTGAAGAGCAAAGATGTCAGCTTGAGTACTAAGGTGTGACCCAAGCCATGGTATTTTCAGTAACCTCACATGGATGTGAAAGTTGGACAGTGAATAAGGAAGACCGTAGAAGAATTGATGCTTTTGATTTACGGTGTTGGAGGAGAATATTGAAAGTGCCATGGGCTGCCAAAAGAACCAACAGATCTGTGTTGGAAGAAGTGCAGCCAGAGTGTTCCTTGGAGTCCAAGATGGCCAAACTTCGTCTCTCATACTTCGGATATATTATCAGGAGGGACCAGTCGCTGGAGAAGGATATCGTGTTTGGTAAGGTTGAGGGTCAGAGAAAAAGAGGAAGACCCTCAGTGAGCTGGATTGACAAAGTGGCAGCATCAATGGGCTCAAGCATGGCAACAGTTGTGAGGTTGGCACAGAACTGGGCAGTGTTTCTGTTCTGCTGTGCATAGGGTTTCTATGAGTCGATACCGACTCTGGCACCTAACAACAAATAACAACAGTGTTGTAACTTGGTAATACCAAATTCCACTATTGGTCTGTAAACTCTAAAATGAGCCTGTCTGCTGGGTCTATAATATGCTGTAGAGTCTCTCTGATATACTTCTTGGTGGAAGCTCCCCTAAATTTAAATTGAGGGCCTAACCATGCATCTAGTTTTGAGTTCATTTTTGCAATTGAGTAACAGGTAAAGCTTACTAATACTATTGTTATTAAAAGTTCCCTTAATACTGTTGTTAAGGAGCTCTAGTAGTGTAGTGGTTATGAGTTGGTCAGCAGTTCAAAACTACCAGCTGTTCCTCAGAAGAAAGATGAAGCTTTCTGCTCCTGTAAAGATTTACAGTCTCAGAAACCCTATGTAGGGTTGCTATGAGTTGGAACCAACTCCATGGCATACAATCAGCCATCCAATAGTATTGTTGTTGTTAAGTGCCGTAGAGTCAATTCTGACTCATAGTGACCCAGTATGTGGTTTCTGAGGAGTGGCTGGTGGTTTGAAACGCCGACCTTGGAGTTAGCAGTCCAATGCTTGTCCTGCAGTACCACACCAGGTCGTTTGAGAGCATATGTGATTGTCGGTGAAGAGTTAAAAACACCTTTCTCCTTCTGCATGAGAATTTGACCTTCGTTTTACTGTCTAGCTCTGTTCCCCTGTAAATCTAATAAAAATTGGACTTTGAGGTAGGCCACATTTCTTATAGTATAAATGACTCCTAGTTGATAATGTTGTGTCTAGACTGGGCATTCTTGAGTTCACTGGCTTTAATAATGGATATGGCTACTGTGGGGTATGAGGGTTTTATGGCAGTGCTGGTCATATCCACCACCGAGAGACCTCATCTCTTCAGATCTGAACTCTTAGGTTACCACCATAGACACTTGACAGAAAAGGAATGCCCGAAGCTACCTTCCTGCCAAACTGTATGCCCCACCCTGGATCCTTCTGGGTAGATCGCTTTTGTGAGTCTGAATAGTAATCCTAAAATCCCTAGAGACTGTTGTTAAAAATTAGATTCTAGAGTTAAAAATGTGTACATTATGTTAGTTCATTCATTTCATTTTATCAGTGCTTTGAGAATATTAGGTTTGAGTTAGGATACACAACTCTTAGTCCTACTTTTTCAGTAATGAATTGTGTTACCGTGTGTGTAGTGCCATCGAGTTGATTCCGACCCATAACGACCCTGTGTAGACTTTCCAAGGAGCAGCTGGTGAGCTTGAACCACTGACCTTGCAGTTCAAATGACTTTGCAGTCTGATGCATTCGTCTACAGCACCACATCTTAATCACTCTGGAAGTCAATTTTCTTAAATGTCAGATAAGAAACTTGACCAATGTAATTTCTGATGTCTCTTTCAACTCTAAATCCTGTAGTTCCCTTACTCGCTTATCTTGATAAGTTAATTTTTAATCCTCTTCTATAGGGCCATTCTAAATCTGGTTTATCAGATACCTGAAAGCCTAAATATAGTGTGCATTCTTCCAAATTTAGGGTTTGGAAAACTTGTCATATTATAACAGCATAGTTCCTAAAAACATTCCCTCCCTAAGGGGTTTAGTTTAAAAATTAATTTAAATTTAAAAATGCATGAGACACGTTTGAAGGGTAAGAGCACTTAGAAGGAGTTTGACAAACTTTTCATTATTTTTAAGATTCTTCTCCCATCTTTGGCTTTATAGGTTGTGAACTGGCTTGAAGGGCCTGGATCGGAACAACTAAGAGCCCAGTGGGGCATTGGAGACTCGATGAGGGCTTCGCAGGCCTTGCAGCAGAAGCATGAAGAGATCGAGAGCCAGCACAGTGTGAGAGAGTTTTCCTGGGCAAAGTGACAGTGCTGCTAACACGCATGATTAGTAGCATGTTTAATAGAAGTTGCTGTCAACTTTGGTGTAGGAGCATGTAGTTCCCCATGTTACGGGTCATAAAGTATAGTTTGGCTAATGAGTTAGTAGGAGATTAGATTTGGTTTTATCTGCAATGCCGTTTAATTATTTACTTTTATCGAAGTGAATTGGTAAGAAAATTAAGACTATTGTGACAGAAGAAAGAATGGTAGTATAAAAAGAGAGTTTTTATTGGTAGTTTACAAGACCGAAACTGACTGTTGACTGTTCACTCAGGAAGAGGCC